TTTATCAAGGGTTAATAAGGGGGAGGGAGGGATGAAACAGAAGAAAAATGTTTTGAAAATGATGATGGCAACATATCTACAAATGTGCTTGATATAATTGATGTATGGATTGTCATAAGATCTGTTAGAGCCCCCAATAAATGATTTATAAAAATTTTTTAAAAGTGAGAAAAAGACATGGCACTCAAATGACTAACAAGCACATGAAAAACGTTCACTATCACTAGCTATCTGGAGGTCCAAGTTAAAACTACTATGAGAGATGCAAATCAAAAGACAATGAAATATCACCTTACACCCACAATGAAAGCACAATGCAAGAAACTGGAAAACAACAAATGCTGGAGATGATGTGGAGAAACTGGAACTCATATACCCTGTTGGTGGATTTGTAACTATAAAAACACTATGGAAAGGAATATGGCAGTACCTTAAACAACTAGGAATGAAAATCCCATATGATCCAGCAGTATCATTATTGGGCATTGTGTTAGGCTGGGTTCACTAGAGAAACAAATCCAATGACACTCATGTAAAAGAAAGAGCTTTATATCAAGAAGTAATTATATATCATGAAAGCGATACTAGTCTTTAAGTCCTTAAGATACTAGTCTTCAGACTCATGCAGCCACATTCAATGATGCAAAATGCATGAAGATCACAGGCTGGTGGGTGCAGAGTCATGTGGATTCAAGGTCAGTGGAAACATATCAGGGTTCTGGAAGCTCTCAGAGTGGCCAGCAAGTAGGAAGGAGAAGGGAGAGAGAGAAGTTCCCAGGGTCCTTTTTATGAGAAGGCTACACCCCCAAGGAGACACCATCAGGCAGTGACCTAGATGACAGGTTGGATTTCACCTTTATACTTGTATACAACTTCAAGTTGACATAAAATTATTTAAGACCACAGGCATATGCTCCAAAGAACTGAGAAACAGAACACGAACAGATGTATGCTCTCAAATGTTTGTTTCAGCACAATTCAAAATAGCAAGAAACTGGAAACAGCCTAACTGCCCCCAAATCGAAGAATGGATAAAGAAACTCTGGTACAGAATGGAATATTATGTATCCCTAAAAAATAGACATGAAATCATGAAACACCTCATAACAATGGAAACCATTGTGCTGCGTGAAGTCAGTCAATCACAAAAGAACAAAAATTGTATGAGTTCATTATTACAAGGATAAACATCAAGACGAAGACAGGCTTCTGCTCTCAAATCAAGTAAACTTCCAATCCAATCTTCCAAACAATGAAGTCGAGAGCCTACTCAGTATCCACGAACCATACATCACTCTCTTTATATTTATATCTTAAAAAACACTTCGACAGAGGAGACCTCACCTCAGCTAGTCACTCCTTCAAGAAGGGGGTCAAGGGAAAAGACCATTTATTTGCTGCCATATAACGTTATGATAATATCACAAAAAGTCAGCAGACACTCCTAAAAGAGGGATAAGGGAACCTTACTGGAAAGTCACGATGGGGGGAAGGGAGCATCTATGTTTTGAAGGAGGCATTTATATTACATTTCTGTTGGTGGGTCAATGGGGAGGAGCAACTTCCCACTGGGAAAAACCTTGACAATACTTACATAGAATCCAAGGGGAGAATAAACCCAGTACTATATACCTGACGAGACACATTTGACCTAGTTTCTATCTAGCCCTTGGTGACTCAGGTTGTATACTATAAACTACTGTGACTTTAGAGTCTGTCCTTTCAAGGCATAAACATCCTTTATAAACCACACCAGAAGGACTCAAAGTGTGGAACCCACTAGTGGAACCCACGAAATTAATTGGGCTTTGTCTCAAAACCAACTCATGAGCTAAACTCCCTGATGTGAGAAGAAAGAGATGATTGTCCCCCCAAAGATGGGGAATCGGTAGCTGTTGAACTTGGTTTCAGATCCCTTGCTTTGAGGGTGCTTAATAAAAGGTGGCCTGCGATCACCCTATATTTACTATTTTAATTCCCTCTTTGCTTTACTATAAAATGTATTAATCTGGTGGGCATGGCTCTGCCTTTGTGAATGAACATTATTGAAAAATTTTCCCTATCAGCAACCCCATTGCCAATTTAAATAGTGCTCAATTATTTAAGAGTCTAACCTGTACAAATTAACAATCCAGTCTATACTGGTATAACTTCCTTTTCTAAACAGTATGTTAAATTGGATACCACTGGATAAATGAATGAAACTATCAATAGAATTACTTTATGTTCCAGGGGGATGATTGATAATGTTCTCTGTCACAAAATAATAATGACACTTCTAATGTGAACCAGAGATGTATATAAACCACAAATATATGAATGGATTTTGGGCTTGCACTTTAATTGTAGCCTCAATCTGAGAACAATGAGTTCTTATGACATGGCCTTCCTCAACACTCAGGATTATGGCAGATATAATTAGATTAAATTATAATACCTGATTATTTGATCTCCCTTTTGACCCATTTTAAGTTTGTTCTAATTTTTAATATTTCCTGCTTTTTTTCTCAATGGAGTTTTTCCCTCTGGTTTATTTTGTTATTGTTGTTGGTTATTTTTTACTGTTATTCTTTTGGGGGGGTATGTTTTCAAGTATATGAAATCCAGGCTTATTGGGGGTGTGGGAGGGTAGGTTGGAGAGAAATCAGGAGCTAATAATGAGTATTAAGAAGGAAGAAAATGTTATAGAACTGACTGTAGTGATGATTACACCACTCTTTTAAATATGACCAAGTTATTGAAGTGTATGAGTTGTAAATTACACATTAGTAAAATTATTTTTTTAATGCCAATATGATCCTGTATTGGAGTGGTATGAAAAACATTATTGAGATAAATGGGCAATTTAGAATATTAGATAATGGTTTCTTATCTATATTGCATTTTCTGAATGGGATGATTATACTTTGGTTATGTACAAGTATACCCTTGCTCTTAGAAGGCAGAAAATGTAGTAATTTAAGGTGGAAAATCATAATGTCACAACCAACTCTCATGGTTCTGTTAAAAATTTGCTGTGTATGTGTTATGTGTAGCATATACATAAGTGTATGAGTGCATATGTATGTGTGAAAAAGAAGGAGGGGATCTGAAATGAAGGAAGAAATAGAGAGAACACAAAAATGGGTCAAAATATTAATAGATGCATCTTGAGAAAAGGTATATGGGTGTTTATTGTTACAAATTTCTCTAAGCTAGACATAAAAAAAATAAAAATGGCAACAAAAAAAACAGCTAAAATTGATATTCTGGTAGAAAAAATTTAAAAACACATTTTCTTGTCTACTCAGTTTAGGAGGTTTAGGGAAATGGTGTAGTGATTATGCCTTGGGCCGATAACCCCAAGGTCAGCAGTTTGAAACCACCAGCTACTCCTTGGGAAAAAGGCAAGGCTTTCTACTCCTGTAAAGAAGTCTTGGAAACCCACAGGGGTAGTTTCACTCTGTCCTATAGGGTCACTATGAGTTGGCAGCAAATCTGTGGCAATGAGTTTGTTTTTCACTGTAAGGCAAAGAGCAATCAGCCCTGGTGGTGCTGTGGGCTATACATTGAGCAATTCTCTTCAAAATCAGAGGTACAAACCCATCACCACATCACCACTCTTCTGTGGGAGAAAGATAAGGCTGCGTGTGTGCTCCCATAAAGATTTTAGTCTCGGAAACCCTATATAGGGTCTCCTTGAGTTGGAACTGACTTGATGGCAGCAGGTTTAGTTTGATTTGATAGGCACAAAGCAATCAGCCACTGAAAACCCTATGGAGTACAGCTCTACTCGAATGCACACAATTTGGAATTAACTCCGTGGCATCTGATTTACTGTTAGGTAAAAAAACAGAAGGAAAAAAATGTCAACCTACCTCAATAAGATCAATTCCTGCTCCAAACTATCAAAGGCTGGCTTCTATGAGTAGGGTGGGATTATATTGTTGAGGACATAGATAAAGTCATCTTATAAGTCTTCCATTACCATATGTAGCCGATATTTCTTTTTATTTGATTAAAGAATGTATAGAATATAGCTTACCTTGCTCCACCAAAGTAGCCATCCTGCAATTTTTGGAGTGCTGCCAGGATGGCTGAATTTAAGCTGGTTCCATCCTCATCTTAAAATGAAGAGAATGTATATTTTAGCTTGGTTATTGGTTTATTGTGAAATAGGTGAAAGTGCAGAATAGATTATCAGTTTTACATTTAACAATTCATAGACATGTTATTTCAACTCCTCCATTGCAATTCTCTCAATTATTATTTTTTCAGATTATTGACATATAATTCCTATACCATACATTTCAATAATTTAAACATATTAAAGAGAGTTATGCAATCATCACACATCAATTTCAAAACTTTTTATTCATTATTGTACTCATTATCACTAGCTCCTTCCCTAACTTCCCCCACCACAACTCCAAGAAACTATTAATTCAGATACTATCTCTACAGATGATCTATCCTGGATTTCATATAAAGAAAATAATATACTCCCCCCCTCCAATTAGGAAATAAAGCACATAAAGACCTCAATCTAAAAGAAAGCAGAAATTAATTAAAAACTAGAACACATTTTAGATGGTCAAAAGGGAGAACAAATGATAAGATGTTAAATATTAACCTACTGCATCAATTTAATCCAGTTCAAAAGCACTCTGTCTGATAGCAAACCTATTCACATCTCTGGTCAATGGTCAGAGGAGAATCTCTGGAGGCTTAATCTACATGGGGATGATGCCAATAGATTTTGGGCTTTCATTGTCATTCATAACCTTCTACAAACCAAGTGAATAGAATTTAAACTCTAATATATTTCCCTCTGCTAGTCTTGGATTTGTTATTAATAATCCTTGGATCACATAGGCTGGTGTTCTGTGTGGATTTAACCCTTACCTCACTTAGATGTCTGATTGATTTAAAACAAGCCTTTAAGACCCCTATGCTATTCTTTCTGATAGTCGGGAACTATCTGATTTCTTCTTGACACTTTGCATCCATATCATCACTGATCACAATAAAGAGAAATTTAAAACTATCTTTATGGTTTTAAATTCTAATAAAGGAAGAATCATTCAATAATAACTCAAAAACCAACATTCTGGTGTGATAGCACCAGTGAATCATGCTCCTCATTGGCCACCTTGTATTTAAACAATTCATATGAGTGCCAACCACATTGCAAAATGGGCAAACAGTAAGGAATGATGATCATAGACAGTTATTTCTAGGCATAATCATATTTATCATGAAATTCTCAGTACTTGGCCCAGGAACTGATGGTAGAACAATGAATGAATAGTGAATGCTGACAATAATATTAACAGCAACCACTTGGTAAACATATATGCTAAGCACTATGCTAAAACATTAAATATTCACTTTCTCATCTAATGATCTTTGGTGTGCATATGTGTGAAGGCATAAAATTATATGGAATGCTAGCAATTATCCTATTTTACATGAAGAAGATCATACAACACAAGCTCTTTTACAATCCAGTTTTTACAATTTTCACCATAACCTGAACCATTTTTCATGCTACTACAAAATAAATCTAGCTTATCCTTCGTGATACCTAAAACCAGTATCATGGCAGCTAGACTTTTTTTCTTTGTATTATGAACAACACTATTGTGTTGGTCTTGGTAGACTAGAGAAACAAATTCATAGACACTCATATGTGTATAAGAAAGAGCTTTATATCCAAGAGCAGTTGAATATTGAGAAAACATCCCAGCCAAGTCCAGATCAAGTCCATAAGCCCGATATTAGCCCATATGTCTGATACCAATATATAAAGTCCTCAAATTAATGAGACACATGCAATGACGCCGAATGCAGGGAGATCTCAGGCCAGTAGGTGGAAAGTTTTGTGGATCCAGTGGTGGTCCAGGCATCTCAGCACGGGCAGGGGTCTCCACATGGCTCCTTCAGCTCCAGGGCTCTAGCATAGCTCCATGTGTCTTGTCAGCAAGCATGTCTCATAGGGAATGTGCGTGTGTCCCCACCTCCAGAGAGCTATTTATCTCCTTAGCGCCTCAAAATGAGGTCATCAAGCTGCAGCCTGATTGACAGAGTAAACTCCACCCCTTCACTTTTAAGCATCAAATTGACAGCAGATTATGTAACTACCATGGCTATAATATGTGCCAACACATTGTGGTTAGACAGGGTTCTCTAGAGAAACAAAACCAGGACACATGATTATTTATAGATGATAGAGATAGAGATAGAGATATACAGCATGAAGGAATATAATAGCAACTTAGTCCACACAGCAGTACAGAGGGCTCAGTTCAAATTACTTCCATGGAACAGTTAATGTACTGGAAGTCCTTCAACTCACAAGGGCTGCTGGGTCCAAGGTTAAGGAAGCAGACAGCTGAGTCTTCCCCATGGCAATGCAGGCAGTTAGGCCATAGGCAGCAAACAGCAGGGCAGGTCACCAACAGTCAGCAGCTCAGGAGCTTAGTGAAGCAGGCCTGGATGGGATATCAAACTCAAGCAAGGCAAGATGACAGGATCCGACAGTCTCAAGCTCAAAAGAGCATGGCGAAGAAGGTCTCAAAGGACTGTCAAGCTCTAGCGACACAATTCATGGGTTGGCTGTCCCACAAGTAGTGTAGTAGTGTAGCTCACAAGTTGGGGCAGAAAAGTAGCTAAGCAACTGCACGATGGTGTGATCACCAGAAAGCAAGAGAGAGGGGCAGGGCTTGCCGAACTATTTATCACTTTGCCCTCCAAAAAACATTCTCCTATATTTCCTCTAATATCTTTAGAAAAACTTTTTATTGTATTTGGATTAAATTTTACAGAGCAAACAAATTGTTTTTTCATTCAACAATTCATTTGAATTTTGATTTGTGCATTGATTGCAAACCCCAAATTATAACAGCATTCTAACCACTTCCTCCTTGGGTTTATCATTTCCAATGTGAAGCTTAGGGTTTGTGTTGTCTACTAATTATTTGGACTAATTCTTTCATTACATCTTTGATTTTATACATTCTTTGTTCTGGACAAGGATAGACTAATAGTTGCATTTTAGATGGCCACTCAAAAGCTTTAGCTACTCAACAAAGTGCGGAATATTGTCATTGTGGAGTATGTTATGCCAGTAGACCTTGGTGTTCCTCCAAACTATGGTCCTGGTCTCCCCAGGCCCACAGACTCATTCCCTCAAGGTGTTTGGCTATGACTAAGACATTATCATAGTTTCACCCATTGTATGCTCTATCATAACCATGGATGTATTTGAAGTACATATACAAGACTAAGTAAAACGGAATTGTTAATAATCATAGATAGATTTATTAAACAAAAATATTAAAATGTACCCCACTATCAGAAAGAATAGAACCTGGGGACTTAAAGGCTTGTTTTCAAATAAGCAGCCGCCATCTAAGCAAAGCAGCAACTAAGTCCACATGGAAGATGCACACCAGTCTGTGTGATCCAAAGATGAAAAATAATAAAATCCAAATCAAAGTAGGGAATGGTATCAGAGCTTAAACTGTGAACACTTGATTTGCAGAAGGCAATGGATGACAGTGGTAACCCAAAATTCATTAGCAGGGCCCCTACATATGTTAAGCCTTTGATGAATCTCCTGACCATGGTGAGAGATGTGAATAACCTTGCTATCAGACAGAATATCATAAACGCAATCATGGCAGATGTAATTAGGTTAAAATGTGATACCTGATCATTTGATCTCCCCTTCGACCCATTTCAAATTTGTTCTAGGTTTTAATACTCCATTTTTTCCCATGGGTTCCCCCTCCTCTGGTTTATTTTGTTATGGTTATTGGTCTATTAAATTTGGGGGGGTATGTTTTTCAGTATATGAAATCAGGGATGGGTGAAGCTATAGAGACAGTAACTGGTGGGGGAGATTGGAGGGAAATAGGGAGTTAAAAATGAATACAAGTGGGAAGAAAATGTTCTGGAACTGATTATAATGATGATTGAATAACTTTGTCTAATACAAGTAAACCATGGAAGTATATGATATGCAAATCATGTGGCAATAAAATTATATTTAAAAATAAAAATGTGCATACATTGTTCCTTGACATCATCCATCTAAGTCTATACTCATGTTTTTAACACTTTTCAGACCAATTATTCACTATTCAACTTAAACAACAAAATCACAGTTTTAGCATTCTCAAGTGAGACAATTATATTCCTTTTAAATATTCTTTGGGTTTGGAGAACAAACAGAGGCTTGAAGGGGTAAAATAAGGGTTGTAGGGTGGATTTGGATAAGACCTCCTAATGAAATTCTTGTAGGACAACCCTAAGTATGAGCAGGTGCATTGTCATGAAAGGAAATAAATTCCCTCACCAAAATTTCCTAATCTTTTTCTCACAAATTCGGTTGTCAGTTTTCATGATATTTCCTCATAGTAAGCTCCCATGATCATTCTGTGTTCTTTGAGTAAATCCATCAAAATTACCTTTGTAATAAAAAAAAAGTCTTTAAAACCTTCTGAGCTGACATATCCGCCTTGATTTTAACTAGTCCAGCAGATCCCCTCAGAAGCCAGTTTTGATTGGACATTTTTTAAGGCACCCTGAGACTGAGACATGTATATTGCTTGGATAACTTTTCTGCAGCCAAGCACTGATCACAGAAACATGTTTAAGCATGTTCTATTTGAAATAAGCTTGTCTATATATGACCTAGAATCTCACTAGCAATACTCTTTTACTTACCCTGTGTTTATATAGATATATATGTAGAAATATTCTGTAAAGTCTATAAATATTCATAGGCGTAGTCCCATTTGCCTTTCGACACTTGTTAGGCTTGCATGTCTATCTAGGCATGTACTCATAGATTATTATTATTACTGTTCCGTAGGATTATGTATATAATATTTTTTTACACTTGATGCCTTTAATTCTATGTTCATCCCAGTATTCCCCTTTGCCTTTATCATTTTGCGTTGACCTCCTCCTTATAGCTTATTGCCTTTACTTTCACTCAATTGTCTACCCTCTAGTTAGTATTTGTCCTCCTTTCTCGGCATCCCCCTCTGGTAACCCTCAAAGAATGTTTCTTTCTTTGAGTAAATCTTTTCTTGATATTTCACAATAGTTGTTA